TGTTACGCGATGAACCGATATACAAGTTCTGTCCAGCCAATATTGTTACAATGATTATGCGCGTTTGACCCACTGGAAGGACACCCGAGTGTACCGCAGCGGCTGCTAGATTAGATTGGTCACCGTAAATGTCTGTTCCGTACACTGTTGCATTGCTTTTTACACCTTGAAGAAGAAAAGGAAACATTCGTCCGACCTGACCTCGATAACTCATCAGATTTGTTGGCGATGACAGACTGCCGAAACAAAAGCTACCCGCCGAACTTCCACTAGATTGCGAGTTGACCGCATTGCGTGTTGTTGCTAAATAGCTTCTTTGAGCGGAAAGAATGGTAACTGTGAGTGTGCCTGTTTGTCCGTTCAGGAGAACTCCAGCGTGAACAGCGGCAGCGGCGACGGAAGAACTATCAGTGTAAATATCAGTGCCCCAAACGGAATACCAGTTTTGATTATTACCAGTGACAATAACTTGAAAGGATTGTCCTGTCAGGTTTCGATACTTGGCAAGATTGTCCGTCCCTCCGAGACTCACTATGAAACCTGCAAAAGAAACAAGAGGTCAATGTGTCTAAGAAGTAATAATCCCAACGCACGGTGATATGCTGTTAAATGTCCTATTTATTATCCTGAAATGAGCAGTCATCTGAATCTGAAAAGTTGGGGTGTGTGTGAGCGTGGATATAGCTAGACTCGTTCTTTACTATTCTACGTCTGGGCATCACAAATGACAACAAGCGGATTATAACTGAATTCTGGAATCCTACGGAATTCACGGAACCTGTTGATATTGACCAGTTGAGGTTCCGAAAACTTCAGGAATTGGTAGATATAGTTTGGTGGAATTCCAGTATTGTGTTCAAAGTGAAAAAAGGGAATTATATGAATCGGACGGAATGGATTCTGGGCACGAAGCTGGTTGCGCAAAGTTCAATATAGCGGAGTAGAATGTATTATTGCTTGGACTGTCATGTTTACAGCAGAATTACTTATTTTTGTGCATCTGTAATAAGTATAAACTGTATAAGATCACCACATGGACCTGTGCCCTTGCAACAAAAAAGAAGAAAGGTTTCAGCTCTACGCCGAGTAGGGCTCGGGCTAACCGGGACTCATTTCTCAGGGGCTAGAGGTATTGTTTTAATAAAATTCATGAATTGTAGTTGATTTCAAAGTCATTGATCTGGTGTATTTGGCATGTCAGTTGCGTTGTGTCATTTATGAATTCCGCTTTGAAACTCGCCATACTCACTTTCATGTATCGGAAGAAAACTGAACAAAGTTGCCAGAACAAGCAGATGGAGATGCATTGACATGGCTGGGGGTGGTTTCACCTTTGTTGAATATCTCCTTGCAGAAGTGATAACTTGAGATTGTGCAGTACGCTATAAAGGGAAGAAAGATATAGAAATTAAGAGTGATTTGTCGGTATCTGCTGCACATTTCTATCTTCCAGCTACGAGTAGTCATTCAGGAATTTAAATTCAGTTGAACAAAATTCAACGACGACTACAAAATGTACTTTCCAGCAGACTTTTTTTCTTTTCAATAAACTGTATCACAACAATGAAAGCACTAAGAATTCAAAGGTTTCTAGACTAGAAACTTTCTAGAAAATCAATTAACATCGAGCACTCGTGGACGAACGGCAATTTTCTACATGTTCCTTAAATGTGGATGAGATCGTAGATTCTCTTCTGAAATGTGACTCATTGTTTGCTACATATTGATGAGAGCACCATACTACCAGCGAAGATACACAGACACAGTTGTTCGAACGAAATTATAGGATCCTTCTCCTACGTTTTTATATTCAAGCACAGCCAACAGTCAACATCTACGATATGGAAGTAAACTGTATTCGTATCGATGATTGTGTTACACTTAGAGGTGTAAGTCGACGGGTAAATCGGCGGCGGCGGGTCTTAAGTTAACATTTAGTTATTTTTTCGAGAATAAGAAAAACGAGTAGTCATCATATTCCGCAGTGTTGAACATTCCGGAATTAGGTGAAAACGGAATTCCTTGCAATTCCAGAATTGAGTCGGAAGGGGTAAATGGAATTCCGGGAATTCCGGAATTGTGTTCGAAGTGACTAACGGAATTGCTGGAATTATATGGAATTGGTTCCGTGAGCGGAACTGGTTCCGGAATGTTCAACATTGCGGAATAGGATGTATTCTCAGAAAAACATGTTTTTTTCAATGGTTGCTTAATAATATCTTGAGATACTCTTTAAAATAACTTTAAATTTCATCTTGGCATAATAGAAAAGAATATATAAGTAACATTACGATCAGCAATGAAGAACAAAATATATGTCGGCAAAGATGGCTGCAACTTTCCAGAAAAAATCGGCGGTGGTAGATCAGTCGCGCGGCCTACGCGTCTAGCTGCACTGAATGAATATGATTGTGTTAGAAATGCATTTTCTATACCCCGTGCACCGTGATCACTGTTTTTTATACGAATAGCGCTTATTAAACGCATGAGACTTTATAAAAACAAAACTTGAACGTACGTCTCATATTTCGACGACTACTTCAACTTTTTCTTTTTTTCTTCGATGCATTTCTTCTTCAGTTTCGTTCTAGATAGGGATGTGCAGTTTCAGTGTAAATACTGAAATACTGATACTGACAACACCGATACACTGAGCACTGAGCACTGACTACACTGAATTGCTGTTCAGTGGGACACTACCACACGTATTCACCAAGAATATGTAAATGCCCATTCGCATACTCTTGGCTGGTAAGTACGCCAGTGTCTCAGTGAACACCAAGTTTAGTGTAGTCAGTGTCGCACTGAATATCACTGCAGTGGAGTCAGTGCTCACTATATCCGAGACTTCAGCCATCACATAACTGAAACTACAGATCGCTAGTTTAAAATCTCGCTTGATATGCGGGCGAAGGCTAGAAGGGCAAGTGTATAGTTTGAGTAGCACTTGATTCTACCATTGAATAGGTCGTAATCGGTCATAATCGTTGAATTCGGATTAAATTGATCGATATATTGTGAGACGAGACTAACAAGTTCAAGGACTTTTTTTTCAACTCTAATACACTAGATTTTCAGGTAAGGGTCTGTACTCTGAAAAAAAATGATGTCATATGGAACCATTTATGGTTCTAGCCTAGATATTGTATCTTTTGAGGTTTCACTCACTTAGTAATAAACCATCGAGGATTCTAGCTAGTTTAAAGAACCATCTCACATCCTCAATAGTTCCGGATGTTTGAAAAGGTTCCGTCCTGCACCATTTTTTTTTATTCCTGAACCATTTTTCCAAAGATGGCTCTGGCTTGAAGCAAGATAATATATTTGCGGAACGTGCTTTAAGTAATATAAATCTCATATAGGTTACCGAGGTCGAGGATTTCGAGTCCGTCATCACTTCTTCGATCCGAGCTCCCGTTGGTCAGAAATTGGGTGCATCAAAAATTCCGTGACTGTAAAGTTAGACATTTTATTTCAACTCTGATCTCGATTCTGATCGAAGTTTGAAATGAGTTATCGACATCCAGGAATTTGAATCCGGCATCATCGACACCGAGCCTGAGGATCCGAGTCGGATTGATGGATATGGGTAGGCGCGTCTTAATAATCAATTCTATGGTAAGCTATAACTTATAAAATGCACTTATTACCAGGTCGACTGATCCGACATCGGGTCCGATAGGAACCTGGAAATATCCTACAATCCGATACAATTCTATTGGATTCCGGGTCGACGAATCGATGTCGGATCCTCAGTGTCGGAATCCTATGAACTTCCGATGACATACAAGGGATTTTCCTTGGATTTCATAGGAATCTGGCACTGAGGATCCGACATCGATTCCTCGACCCGGAATCCAACGATAATTCTGTAAGATCTGACAGAATCTGATAAAATCCTATTGGATTCCAGTCGGATCGGAGGGGTTCCGATAAATGCCTACTGTCGGATTGCTTGAACTGGGCTCTTTTATTTATTTTCATATATCACAATTATCAAAGCCTCTATGGCTGAATGGTTAAGATGTTTGACACATATCCACAAGATACTGTGATCGAACCTCGGCTCCATCCAGTTACAGAATGACCTTGGATAAGTTACTAACGGATATATTATCTTGGATCACCCATCCGATAACAAAGTGACTACGTGTGACATACATTAAATAGCTCTTGTAGCTAGCATGTTGTTAGTCAGTGTGCACGGGGAGCTCAAGCAATTAAGCGCGAAGAACTCTGAGTCAGGCCGACCTTCTGTCGTGAGCTACATTTAGTAATGGATGTAGGAAAAAAATCGGGCCCTTGAAATTGCCCTCGGACAACACCCCATAGCGCAAGGTAGCCGAAAGGCAGGGTATTCTTCTTCTTCTTCTTCTTCAATTCTCAATAGAAAGTAA